TAGGAGAGAGATAGCCAGATCCGGGGTCCCAATCACTACATGCGTCCAGAGATCAGAGACATATGAGTTGGACTTGGAGCCCTGCTCTGTGAGTGACATTGATCTGGGTGACTATTTTGACTGGGACACTCATAGAGGCTGAGTTTGTGGACAGTGACAGGAGCGCTGGAGACCGGTGAGCGACGACGACGGAGAGCGACTTTGAGGAGGATTGCGTATCTTCTTGCTAGGTATCTTCTTGAGGGTGATTGACTCCTACATGTCAGACGACCCTAGGTCTGAGACAATTATTAGTCCCCCGAGAGGGGAGAGTCGGGTCTTATATCTCGGAGATGACTATAGTCATTTGGTCGGGACAGACTTTGCTATGCAGGCTTATCGAAAGCCCCTTTACGGAGACCGTTTCCTCGAGCTGTCCTACATCTACTCTGGTGGGAGAGGACGGATTGAGATATTGATTGAAGCTACAGGCAACATTATCCTTGCGGAGGAGCTTTATCCCAGGAGCGTTACACACGAGGCGATGGCGAGATGCATGGCCTATAACTGCAAGATTGATCTTGCAGCGCCTCTCGACATCAGCTACGTGGTTCCAGAGTAGATAGCCACGCGAGTTCTCAATAACGAGGCGCCAGATATGGAGTCCCAGATGGCAGCACTTACTCACGAGGGGGTACCGCTTATTATTATTGATTGAGGTTCTCTCTTTTCAGTCACTATGATGCATTACAACATTATTATTTATTAGTGATTGCATCCCTCCAATAGCTGCTCCCTGCATACTCAGTGTACTACTCTTTAGTCTCGTATCTCTGGTCATATTGTTGCAGAGTCTGGTTTCTGGTCTTCTGATTTCGTCAGTGTCAATTGCTCTATGATGCATGCTTGCTATTTTCCTCCTTATTTTATACAGGTTACACTCAAGGCAGCTTGAAGGACTCTTGAATGATAGGGACTCCGGTGACCTTGGGTCTTTCCTTGATACGGGGTTAGGTGTAGGCGATAAACCCGAACGCCACGCTCTAAGTCGTGTCACCGCTGGCAGGAGGGATAACCTTGACTACTCGGCTGTATGACAAAGTGTGACTGCCTCTGAATACACCTCAATTTTTAATACCTATCAAGAATCCTGCGTGACAGCCTGCCAGTCCTCCAACCCAATAAGCTCGGTCCGGGGAAGGATATCTAACCGGACCCTTGAAGCAGGGGGGGCGCGACACCGCGCCCAGCGCCGGTTTGCCTGGGACGCTTTGTCGTAGGTGTGGTAGACACCCAAGAGCCTAGCTCAGTGGGTACGCCCATGAACTGTTGAAATATAGGCCCGTGTTCGGGCCCAGATGATGGAACTTGGGTCGTAAAACCAAGTACTCTAAATTTGCCTGTGACCGGGGCAGGCTGACCCCGTGACCCTGGTGCTGGTCCTTCGAAATTGGAACTATGCAGAGAAGATTAGCGTGGCCAGTATGGAAGGGCGGCCAGCATATAGGAGGGGAGAGTCGGGCGCCCTGGAGTTTTCCTCGCTACCCAGCTGGCGCGGGCTGTTGGAGACCAGCTGCAGTGGGGGATGAAGCCAGGCAACGCAGGGCCAGCGGGGAGGCAACGGGCGACGGACAAGCGAGGTGAGGCACAGGTGGGGCGAAGGCAGGCCGCGGGCAGAGTGTTGCGGGTAGCGGGTCGGACGCCCATCGGGGTGACGAGCAGTAGAAGCAGCGAGCGGGCGGCCGGGGGCCAGGACAGCGAGGTAGCGGGAGCAAGAGTAGATCAGGTGAACCTGGCCCGGGTCCCCGCCCGGGTGCATTTGAAGCGAGGGAGCGTAGGGGAGGAGCTAAGGTAAGGTGGAGGTAAGTTGTGCCTCGCGTAGGCCCTATCCTGTCGTAGGGGCTCGCGAGAGGTATGGCTGGCGCACTCGGTCGGAGCGGCCTAAGGAAGCTCCATTTGTGTGTTCGCGGCAAGGTTGGTCCAACTCCTGCGTGACGCGGCCGAGAGGGTCCCGCGCTGCCACGTGCGGTGCCAGATAGATGCGCACGAAAAGGTGGCGCCGTTGCCGGGGATAACTGTCGCCTATCTTTGTCCCTGGTGGAACGACATCCGGGTATCGGATAGTGAGAACTAGGCAAAACGAGAGGTTTTTGTTGAGCGTTTATGATTAATCGATTGAAGGTGTTGGATAGAAAGCGAGTGAAGGGTTGATTGTGCGAGTTGGTTCTGTTTGGTGCCGTAAGGGTGGCATGAAAGGGATAAGCTTTGATTATGCGCCCACGTACGTTGACTATGCGCGCACGTACTCCGATTATGCGCTTGCATACTTTGACTAGTATGACGGTAGCTGGAGCTGATATCTCTTCTAACCCCGATAGTTGATGGGTTTGGGCGATGATTTTGCATGTTTGGTACGATTAAGGTAGGATAAGGCGGTATCAACAAAGTTAAGTGTGGTGGTTGTGAGAGCTGACCATGTAGGGTACCCATTATGACTACAGGGAGTTACTTGAGTGGTTCAGAGAGCGATGGGGCGCTTTGGCCCTAGAGTGAGGCCGAGGATGAGCAAGAGAGCCTGTTACCCTAGAAGTCATTGAGGGACTTCGCGGAGAGTTAGGCCAAGGGGGCCGAAGGCCTTATAGGCATGGGCGAAGATCCTTGAGTCTGGGTTCTAAGCGGTTGTTTGACTACGGGACATAGTAAGTCTACGTAAATACCGTCTTTGCGAGAAGGATGTCCGATCTTAGGGGTAGTCGGAGTAACAGTGAAGGAACTAACACTTAGATTATTTGCCTACCTTTAAAAGGGCAATGGGTTGTAAGTGATGTCAGACCGTCACTGGGACCTTTCCTAGGTTTGGACCATCCGCTTGGATTTATGGGTTGGGGCTAAGGACTTGAGGCTACGTGCCTGAGGGCATTTTTATTTGAGTTATACTTATCCATATATGTCAGGTTTTACCTAAGTAAGTTTGTCTTATGTTTGATTATGTGAGGTTATGAGTTGGTTTTATTAAATAATTATCCTTGTCAGAAATGTTTACACGGGTTATATGTTTGGAGTATGTATTCGAGCTTTATCAGTCTGCAAGGATTTATATGGGTGTCTCAAGTCCAGTTATTAACTTATGTCTATCTATTAAGGCTTGTGTGTTTGTATTGATTCCCAAACAGGGGTAGGGATATTACGCAGAATCTACTTCTGATGCGGATTCAGAGGTGAATGGAGTGGCCACCTCTTGAGATAAGTACTTCTCATGAGATGGTCAATGTGTAAAGTCTACCCTAAGGAAGGTTGCAATCCTATGTTATCGGTCCCCTAAGAGATGGCTTTGAAGAAGTTATAGTCTTGTCTTGGAGGTAGTAGTGAGACCCACGCTGGAACTATGTTCCTGGTCCATAGTGGGGTGTTGTTGTTGTATCTCTTGTGATAAAATAACTACATTACTACTGAAAAGGAAGAAAGTATTTGAGTCTTGTTAGACCTTGGCCTATGAGGGAAGCAGCTACTGCATGCCATAGAGAGGTAGGGGGTGAATCCCCGACTATCTCTGTGTCAAGTGGGTTCACCAACGCAGGACGGGACTATACATCCCGAAGCGCGTATGGTGAGGTTGTTTACCTTGTTGGCAAGGGTCTGCAAGGGACGGATGCTGAAATCGGAGGGAGAAGCAGTGAGGCTTGATCTTTGATTGAGACTCAGGGATTTAAGATGTTATCCTTTTTGGAAAGGATTACACTGCCCCTAGCCACAGTATACTTCTGTCGAAGCCAGGGGAGTAAAGTGTGGTACTCTCGCAATAATTATGCCCGAGAGTACTAACTGTTGGCAATCCTATCACTGATCATAATGTGTCTGTCGTATGTGGGTCTGACAGTATGAGATATTTGCATATGCCTTGAGTAACTGACTGGCTGGGGTGTGATGTGTATAATTATCATGAGTATTATTGTTGTCAGGTACTATGGTAATATACCGTTTTTCCGTGGGTATTATAATTATGGATTTTTTATATCTGTGAATAACATATTATCGTGATATATTACCATCATTATTTTTCTCTAAGTTGGGTGGCCGTAAACACTAGAAATAACGAAATTTAGTGAAAGATCGTCTGAAGTTAAGGCTTCAGAGTAAAAATTATAGAACGCGATTGTCAGCATAATGACGGAAGGTGTATGCTGAACGTTTTTCTGTGATAAGCAGAACCCAGACCGGAGCAAAGGCAACTCAGGATGCCTTATGCTAGGGAAGATCCCAGTATGACCATGCCCGTTAAGAAGGAAGATGGGCTTGAGATTTCCTTGCCGAGGCGAGTCAAGGAAGGAGAGTATATCTCTTCCTGGTGGGGCGCGTGGATAGACAGGGGTATCTTCATCTGGATCGAGTCCGACTTCAATGATGATGAAGATTGTGCGATCGTAAGGGTATCCTTGTACGCATCATCCTCATTCTGGGTCAAACATGGGGTTGAATTGACACTTGGGCACAAGAGCATGCTTGCGACGCCATTGAGAATAGCTGAAGGAGTTGCGGCAAAGTGGGCAAGGGGCAGGGTCCAGGAAAGGGGAGAGCGGGTGGTGGCCCAGGTAGAAGTCAAACACGCGAAAGAGTTTGCACTTCCCTCAGCCCCATTACGAGTCACCCTGCCAGAGGTCTTAGTAAAACAAAGTTTTTGGGGACACGCAAGAGTGGAAGCCGCTGCGGAAGCCGCTGTGGAGGCATGCGAATGAGGGTACGCACGATACACGTGCGAGCTGATATATGGGTTGTACTTGGATCAGAGATTTTTGCCCGATAGCCAAGGACTTAGAAGCATGGCCAGTATAGTTGACGTATATGTCAGTACTCATGATCCAGATGAAGGGGGTAAGGACAAGGAGAAAATTCGGGTAGCGGTAGGCCGATAAGGAATGCCCTCTCTTCCTACTAAATGCGCTTCCTTTGACCTGGCTATGGTCGTCCCTCTGCCCATTACCGTAGTTATGAAGGTAAGCATCATGGTAACTAGGAGTTGAGGCCTAATTGCATAAAAAAAAAAAAAAAAAAAAAAAAAGGAGGATAGATAGCGTGAATTAAGAGTTAGCAGTTTGCCTTTGTCCGCTCGAGCTTACTTAAATCACTGTTTGATGGTCTATTGCCCGCTATGCGTATCAGGCTGCTGTCGGCACCATGGCGGAAGAAAGCGGCCTCGCCAAGATCTTGCTTCGGAGGAATTCGTGCCTCATGAAGGTGCTGCTGCACGAAGTGTTGCAAGTGTCAATGCCCCCAATCTCCGCGCCCTGCTGTTCCAAGGAAGGAACTTGTCTGACTTTCTGCGTGATTTCCGAAAATTTTGCCTTATAAAGAAGTGGGACAAGAAGGCGATGTGGTACATGTTCCTTTTGTTCGTTTGCGAAAGCCTAAGCGAGGAGGTGTATGCCTTCAGGCAGAAGGCGGAGACGTGGGATGAGTTGGAGAACTCCCTAAGGCTAAGATTCCCAGAGGATGGAATGGAGGGCCAACGTGGGGAATGCTTTGTGCCCCCGGTTGTGGACACGCCACCACAGGCAGAGTTAAGTGGGCTACAAGGGCAAGTACGGGCATTGGAAGAGAGGTTAACCCGACTGGAGGAGGTCCGGAAAGGCAAGCGGAAGGTTTTGGAAGACTCCCCAAGTGAGCCGGCCGACCAGGGTGAAAGAGGAGTGGAGAAGGATGACCAAGAGTCGCCCCTCTCGATAGGAACCCCAAAGAAGCGAGTCGGTGTTCGGGCGAGAGGCAAAGACGAAGGATTCATGGAAATAAAGGAGGAGCGGGACGCTAATATGGTCCTGCCTGTTCGTGCGCCGGATCCAAAGAGGGGGCTTGTTATCGTGGAAACATCCTCAGCTGCAGGTCAGGAAGGGCAGAAGAGAGGATGGTGGTCCGAGCGTTGGGTGGAAAAGGTATGTGATTGTTGGGAAAAAACTGACCGTACCCCGCAAGGAAGTAAGAGAAGGGGTGTGACGGGAGAAAAAGGGAAGCTTGAACCTCCCAAGTTGACAGAGGCTCAGTGGAAGGCGAGGAATTGGGCCCAGGGAGGTCAGGGTACCGGAGAAGGGCAGTGCTCGCTACAAGAGGTACTCACTCCGCAAGGAATGAGAGGCGAAACTGCTCCAAGGGGCCCCTCGACGGCCGAGTAGGCGCTATATCGGCAGTGGACGTCGTACGATCAAATGGGTATAGGGCCTGAGATTGGGATAGACTTCTTCAAGGGTTATCATGTCTCCGTCTTTCTTGATAAGCTTGGACAGATAGCATCCCACTACAAGTGGAGCGAGGAGCGAATGCTGAAAGAGGTCATAAGGTTTATCCATATAGGATTGAAGGATGAAGTTGACAAGTTGGTCAAAGGAGCGAGGTCATCATGGGGGAAATTTTGTGATGACATGGGGCATAAGTACTGGCTAGGTGAGGAGCACCCGACCAATAACGGTCTGGAGATGGTACCCAGGCCTTTGGTAGCCCAAGCCCAGCCCGGGAGCCCGTTGCGATTACCGTCGCAGCAAGTGCCGCAAGGCGGCAGGGCCTACGAAGAAGGTCAAAAGCAGGCGGCTGGAAGAGGCCGCAGGAACGGTGGGCGTGGCAGCGAAGGACGCAGCAGCGGCAAAGGTAGCGCTGGAGGAAAGAAATCGGGTTGGGGAGACGACATTTGCAGACATTGTGCCAAGGAAGGGCACATAATGAAGTTTTGTCGAGAACGAAGGGCCGATGAAGCAAGCGGTCTAATAAGGACAAATATTGAGGGAGGTGTTTTCGACAGGGCTGGGGAGCGYATCGACCCAACCATCCCTGGGGGAACACGGAAGGAGGCTTTGAGGCGAGATGGAGCGTTGAGCACTGCCTCATGAATGTAGTCGTGAAGGAGAAGGGTTTGTGCGAGAAGGGCCTAGAAATCTAAATAAACTGTAAGTATAAGCGAGAAAGTCTCAATTATATAGCTGTTGCAGATAGGCATAGCGTACAGAGGGAAAGGATTTTTGTAATGTGGTCCGGTAAGGTGGCCTGAGTTGTAGGCAGGGGGGGACCCCAATAGAACAACTGTATATATGAGAAATGTTAGGTCTGCCCCACATCATGTTATTGGGATGTCTCAAGTAGATAGGGCAAGGAGTGACCCTGAGGGCATTGTTACAAAGTAGGGATCTGTTCTATTAGGCCTATTGATCGAGAGAAAAAGATATAGGACCTACGTCGTGCCTCGGCCTAGATAGACGTATAGGTGTGAGAGGTATGAGAGGTTTGGGAAAAAAACTCAGCGTGGGGGAGATAGGCCATCTAGCCTAGGGAGGAAGTTGCAGGACTGGTGTATGGGCTACTTCTAGCCTTACTTTTCTTTGGATAACTGGATACGTCCTAGATTACTAAGGTCCCTCGGATTGGGAAGTATGGCTACACCGTGATCAAATTGTTTTAGCTATAACCTTGGTCAGGGAGACCGCATTTGTTCTTGTGTGATACCAGTGACGATTTGAGTTGAGGTTGTTCAACTCCGAGTGTATATATGTAATTCGAGACATTTGGCTCGCGTTTGAGTTGGGGTATTGTACCTCTGTGTATATATTGAGTTGAGGCCTTATCCGAGACGATTTTTTGTATATGACGATCACAATCACTCTCACGTGTGTGGTTTACCCTGATGTATGATGGCTTTGTGTGAGAGATGTGTGAGATACATCTCATGTGTATTGGATTGTGTGAATTTCATGAGAATAAGTGGATGTGAACTGTCTACTCTTCGGTATACTCGTGCGGTCTGCCTACAGGCAGGACAGGGCCGAGTATAAGGAGAGAGAGTGCAGTCTGTCATTGTGAAAGTGTGAAAATCCTAAGGGATTTTGCGAGACTTCGAGGCTCGAGTACTTACCATGCCGGGTGTTTTATGGTCAAGTTGCGAAAATGACCCATAAGCAGGCCCTCAACTGAGTTGGTTCGTGATTGAGTTGTGGAGAGGGCCCATAAGTAGGCCTCTCAATTTGAGTTGTTTTATGGTTGAGGCCCCTTCAGTTTGAGGAAGGCGGTAATGTTTATTTATCGGAAGACTCATCCCCAAAAGGGGAGGTGTTTTAAAAAGGGTTGTGTGATAGCTCATCCTAGGAAGAGAGGGATGGCTGGGAGACCTATTGAGAGAGACCTCCTTCATGTGAAAGGTGGTTAATGGATTTAAGGGCATGGTAAGCAGTGTTTGAGTTGATAAAGTTTGACGAAAAGGGACCATGTTTGCTTGAGATGTTTGAGAAAGTCGCAAAAAAGTGCAGGGCGAGAGACGTCTCAGGATGGGTGGCTGCTGGCTCTGATCAGGTCAGGGGTCACGGCCTTGTGGACCTAGCGGATTTTGTTTGTGATTGTGCGAAGGATGCCATGCCTCTCGTGGGAGAGCTGGTAAATGCCTTCAGACCCCTGCGTAATCTCGCAGTGGGCCCGTGATTGGTTTTGCGACGCTCCGTCTAACCACTTGTGCTAGTTCTGGGGCATAGTAGAGGAATACCAAGCTAAGCGGTAAAGATTAGCACCTCTAGGGCATAACCCCAGTGGATGGCTGCTAGCCGGCGCAACCTGGCTGTGGGACCGTGGAGTAAGAGTTAAAGGGGAGTTGCCCGCCCCAGGAAAATTACTCCGTGGGGTAGTAAGGGTTGAGAATTTTTGGAAAATCTTGATTGAATGCTTATCAGGAGAAAACCTATCGTTGCGTAACCGACGAAGGTACTGCCGCTAAAATAACAATGAGGTGGGCCGTAGTCCTGGTCCAATCAGCCAGGCTATGGTGGGCCAAGATGGAGACCTAGCCCTGTTATACTAGACTGCAGAAAGAGCTGAGTGGATATTAAGTATACAAATATACGTATGTATATTTGATTGCGAGAGATTCTATGAGAAGGAAGGTGAGAGTGCCTTCAAAGGTCTCGGTTAGGGCCCGCGTCCCTAGTTTTGGCCAGGACTAGGGATACCCAACGAGAAGCCGAAGGTTGTCTAGGACCGGGGAGAGGATGATTGGGAAGGTTTTTGAAACTTATGCTGTCAACGTCCTAATGCCTAGGCGGTGAGAGCCCGGGTTAGAAACCTGACAGCATACAGTTGTGGAGGCATGGTTAGATGGAGACCTCTACCCTGTGTTTGTCGGCTAATCGGATTGGTCCCTCTTTCGTCAGCATCTTGGGTAATCTGATAGCTTTTCGATTTTGTGAAGCGACGGGGACGTCGCTTAATGTGGTCCGATAAGTTGTCGGCGCGAATACCCTTACAAGGGTATCCGCCCTGGTTTTTGCAAGTGACAGAAAAATGAATTTGGCGTAAAGTTAAGTATACCGCGCTAGGCGCGGCTGCGTCTGTGACTTGCGCTGATTGGATGGTTGACTATAATAGAGAGTGCGTGGGTGCGCAGATTTAAGGCGCGAGTGATTCTTTGTTATTTGTTGATCATAAAGTCGGCGCGGACATCGGTCGTTTTGTTTAATATTATTTTTATTTATTTATTTTTTATTAAGCAGGAATTAGGGATATTTTCTCTTGATTGGTATGTTTGACCGAGGCGAGCGCGAGTGCGGAGAACGACCTCGACGACGGTATCGGCAACGACAGCACGATTTCGTGCGGTGAGCGGGGCGTCGTAGGATGGTGCGCAGGGCAATTATGGAACGGTATAAGCAAGCCGGCGCGGACACTGGGAACTACACAGCCGGTTTGTTGGCCCAAAGCGTCACGCCGCACTGCCTTGTATGGTACTCTGCGGGCGCTGGTCTCAGGCTTGGGCATAGCCCTATAGGTTACGACATTGGGTTGACGATACGGAGGTTCGGGGATCGAGGCCAGCGGGTGTAGGCGCAGCAGTTACAGCGGAGTGGCGTGGAGAAGACCGAGGGGGTCGAGGGCCCGACGAGGCTATCCCCCTCCATTTTCGTTTATAGGCGCGGCGGCGGAGGGGGCCGATCCGTGGGGCTCCTCGTTGATTCCCCCGCTTACTTTTATTATGTCTACCTTTTTCTGTTGTTTATTTTTGTTTTTATTCGCGTCCCGTTCTGGGACGTGGTACTGGGCTGAGGCAAGGTCACGCGGGAGGTGTTATATTCACGGGGTTGCCAAAAGTGCAATTACAAACTATGTTCGTAGTTACGCCAGGGCCGCGCCCGGCGCCATTTTGCCTGGGATGCTATGCCGTGGGTGTGGCAGACACCCAAGAGCCTAGCTCAGTGGGTACGCCCATGAATTGGTTAAATACAGGCCCGTGTTCGGGCCTAGATGATGGAACTTGGGTCGTAAAACCAAGTACTCTAAATTTGCCTGCGACCGGGGCAGGCTGACCCCGTGACCCCGGTGCTGGTCCTTCGAAATTAGAACTATGCAGAGAAGATTAGCGTGACCCGTATGGAAGGGCGGCCCGCATAAAGGAGGGGAGAGTCGGGCGCCCTGGAGTTTTCCTCGCTACCCAGCTGGCGCGGGCTGTTGGAGACCAGCTGCAGCGGGGGATGAAGCCAGGCAGCGCAGGGCCAACGGGGAGGCAACGGGCGACGGGCAAGCGGGGTGAGGCACAGGTGGGGCGAAGGCAGGCCGCGGGCGGAGTGTTGCGGGTAGCGGGTCGGACACCCATCGGGGTGACGAGCAGTAGAAGCAGCGAGCGGGCGGTCGGGGGCCAGGACAACGAGGTAGCGGGAGCTGGAGTAGATCAGGTGAACCTGGCCCGGACCCCCGCCCGGGTGCATTTGAAGCGAGGGAGCGTAGGGGGGAGTTAAGGTAAGGTGGAGGTAAGTTGTGCCTCGCGTAGGCCCTATCCTGTCATAGGGGCTCGCGAGAGGTATGGCTGGCACACTCGGCCGGAGCGGCCTAAGGAAGCTTCATTGTGTGTTCGCAGCAAGGTTGGTCCAACTTCTGCGTGTCGCGGCCGAGAGGGTCCCGCGCTGCCACGTGCGGTGCCAGACCGATGCGCCTGACACCGTGCCCTCACGGAAAGTCAATTGTGTTTATACCCTCAAGGCATTTTTGTGATTCTTTATCCCGCCCATTTTCTTTGGCCCAAATTGGTTGTTGGAAGGGTATTAAAATTGTAGGCAGGGGCTTCAAGGAGGGTGGACAGTCCTTGCAAGCGCAGGACCAATATTGGTCGTGTTCCTTGACAGAAAAAAAAAGAAACTATGAGGGAGTCGTAAAAATGAGTTATAATTGCACTATGGACGAAGATACAGTTTCGAATTGCAGTTCGAGTAATTTATACAACCCAACCTTTTGGTCATGTTGGGCGCTTGAAGTGCAATTGCAAACTGTATCATGCCCATAGTGCAATTATAACTCATTTTTATGACTCTACTATGCCCCCACCACCCACCTGGAACAATTTTCTCAAATAGAAGGGCATTTCGAACACAATACGTATGGGTTGTCTTCGAACGCAAAGCATATATTTTCTATTCAAATTTCGAAAAGAGAAAGTATTATATTCGAATAGTACATTACATTTTCTCTTTTTCCTTCGAGGTTAGCCCCCGCCCTTCTGCTCTCGGTCACTAACGTTGCGTGCTCTCTCTCTCTCTCTCTCTCTCTCTCTCTCTCTCTCTCTCTCTCTCTCTCTCTCTC